TGCATAAACACATGGCAGTCGTGACTCTTGAGTCCAGTAAATTTACCCCCGTCAACCCTCACGCAACGTGCGATATTAGAAGCATACCCGTCAGGAAACTTTACAGACGATACGAACTGTAGAAACTCTTTGTTGTCATTCGGTTTCATGGAAAAAAATGCAAGATCCCGTATAGCTTTATCACTGCCCCTTTTCAGCCATAAACCCTTTCGTATGCCCATTCTTTCCAAATCAAGACGCGCTTTCGGAGTGTCCTTTGTCTTGCCCTTGATATCTAGAATCGTTCCCATCAATGTGTCAAACACATTTTTCTCAACATGCATAACGTCGAGATTGTGCCTCAATTTTAGTTTCGACCAATATGGGAGCTCAAAAAACATAGACTTGTGCGTCCAGTTCATATGTGTAGCAGGTCTGGTCCGACTAACTGTTTTCCCAAACGGAGCAAAATCCAAATGGTTAAGCTGTTCCAAGATCTGATCACTGGACCATTCTCTAGGTTTTGCGCGACGCTCTTTGTTCCCGTCGAACTCTATATCATTCTCCTGCCACTCGTGGTCCCATGGCAACCATCTTCGATGCCCAAGGTAACACACTTTTCCAGCGTGCCAACCGGAAGTTACATCTTCCTTGCATACAGGGCATGCCATATAACCCTTTGTGCTCCACCCCGAAACCATTGCATATGCGGGAAAATCATTCACAGTCCACATAACTGCCGCCCGCAAAGTGAACATCTTCTTAGTAGATTTATCGTACGTGCGCACCCCGTTTGTCCATAAATCTTTGAGCTCATCAACCAACGGCCTTAAGTACACATCGATTGACCTGCCAGGATCCTCAGTTATCAAACCAGTCATCATCATGTACTCTTTTCTCATGCATTTCCAAGGGGGCAAATTATATGGAAATACGAAAATCGGCCAAGTGCTGTGGTGTTGGTTTAGAACCCCGTACGGATTGAAACCGTCAGTCGCAAGTCCCAACCTCACATTTCGGGGATCAGCAGCAAACTCGGGGAACGTTCGATCGAAATCTTTCCATGCCTCCCCATCTGCAGGATGCCGCATCACATCGTCGTCTACCCGTTTTTCCTTATGCCATCTCATGTCTGTGGCAGTATGCGTCGACATATACAATCGCTGCAACCTTGGTTTCAGGGGCAGATAACGCATGACTTTTTGTGGAATCTTACTCATTCTATTCTGAGATGTCTGTTTGAACCTCGATTCATTGCATATAGGGCATGTATCCAACGTTTCATACTCTTTATAGAATAACATGCAATTATTTTTGCAAGCGTGGATCTTTTCATAACCCAATCCAAGACCACTCAACATCTTCTGTGCCTGTCTGTGATCTTTCGGCAAACAATTGTCTGTTGGAAGCATTTTCTTGAAAACCCCCAAAAAGTAATCGAAACACAAGTTCGACATACGATACTTTATTTTCCCGTGCATTAGCTCCACAATCGCCGTCAGAACGGAAAAGCGCTCGCACCCCGGGTATAACTCCTGGTTGGCATTTCTTAACAGGTTTTCATACTGTTCGAACTCTGCACTGTCCATTGGTGTAGGCACATCATCTTCTCCTTCCTGAGTGCTGCTGGTCGATGCAAATGGAAAAGCATCATGTATAATATCCCTGACTTGTTCATTAGGATCCACAATAGGTTCAACATTGTCCATTCTTGTGGCCCCTGAAGACGAAGCGATGTCTACTTGTTCCCCGTGATGGTTCCAAGTGCTGTATGTCTCAATCATTCCATTTCTTACTAAATGAAATCGAACATGTTCAATTGTCTCCCACAACATGTTGTTACACCTCCTGCAAGGACACCGGATTCTAGTTGCACCTGGGTTGTGTGTCCGTGTAAAGTCAATAAAATCCTCGATTCCATCCAAGTATTCGCCTGCGCACCTATTCGGGTTTTGTATCCACCTCCTGCTCATCTTTCCTGGAACCACAATCACAATACAACAATCATGTTGTATTCGTACAAAATCTTTCCTTATGCCTCCGGTAAGGGCCCTATCCCATTCGGAAATGCATAGCCATGTCATGTAATTTACAGCTACTCGACGTGGATGAATTTCGGCAGCATCTCGGTACAGTTCTTGAGGTGTACCGTAGATATAAAATACCTACGTACCACCCGAAGAACGTACCGAGACGACACCGAAATCTCCACAATCGAAACCTAATCCTGTAGCTGTAAACTACGTGACATGACTATGCATTTCCAAACTGTCCAAAATATGGGACAATTCAAGAATTAATTGGACCGTAGTCGTGGTTTACCCACACATGTGCGGTCCAACTAACCTCGAACGGGAACTAAGTTACATTAACGTACATGCATAATTTAACAACATATTATAAACATAATTTCATAAATCAATATAAATATAATGTAATAAATTTTATATTATAAAACAACGAAAATACCTTCTAAATCGTTCTCCACTAATCGCTAATCACATATAATATTCCTATATACAAAGAAATTAATGATGTTAGTATGAATTTACAGTAAAAATTTTATACTAACGATAAAAAATGCATACCCAATGACCGTATCAGAGGCAGAAGTAGCTCAACTCATAAACGAAATGAAAATGACGAGTTTTGTGGGCCGATAATGCTCGAGATAGACCCAGAAACAGCAGAGGACAGCAGAGGTAAACTGCAAATTTTTTTGCAGTTTGCCTCTGCCATGGACGTGCTGTTCTTTGTATAGACGACGAGTTTGCGCGACGGATAGGTTTTGTCGTCACGCAAGATTCTGCCTTTGCGCGACGACAACATTTTTTCTGTCGTACAATATCTGTCGTGCATACCAGGTCTTCGTCGCGCAAAGGTTATTTCCCAGTCGCGCAAGGGCCCGTCGACATCGGTTTTTTGCGCGACGCAAAAGTGTTATCCGTCGCTTTGTCATTTGTCGCCTAAACATTGCGCGATGAAATTTCTGTCGCGCAATCTGCCGTCGCGCAATTTTTTGGCACGAAATGCTACCAACATTGTTCCCTTTTTCCCGCCCTTTTTTTGCGCGACGAATGGTTTTTGTTGTCGCTTAAAGATGTTTTGCGCGACGATAGATACTGTCGCGCAAAGTTCACCGCCAAATAACTTTTTTCGCGCGTTTTCCGAACGTCTTTATGCGACGCTATTTTTTATTGTCGCGCAAACGTATTTTGCGCGACGAATTATTTTGTCGCGCAGTTTTGCGCTACGATTTATGTTTCCCGTCGCACGAAAGTTTTTTGCCCGACGAATTATTCGTCGTCGCGCAAAGACTAAAATGTAGTAGTGAAATAAGCTATACCATATGATAGTATTTGAGTGATGTATAATAATTTCTCCACATTTAAGAAATAACAAAATTAAAGGATTGTCTAGAAGTTAGAAATTTTATAGAAACTTTGTCGGATATTTTTTGAACAATTAAAATATTAATTATCATTTTTTTTAGAGTAGTAGGAAATATATATTACCTTGAGAACCGGTTAACAAGTTCTCCTTGCCGACAATTAACCCTTCCTAAGCTAGGGGAGGTGACCCCTGCCCTTCTTCCCTTCCGCCTTCTTCTCATTCTCTCTCTTCCTCTCCCATTCTTCTTCTCCTATCTTTTTCCTACCTTGTCATTTTGTCTCCCTTTCTTTCCACTTTCATGGGGGCTCTTGTTTGCCCTCTCTCCCCTTCCTTTTCTCATCCCCTTCCCCTCCCAAGATCTACTTGGATCTTGGGTTTTTAGCCTAGATCTGTTGGATCTAGGTTTGTTTGTGTATTTGTTTTGTTTGATTGTTTTTGCAGTGTTCTAGGTGGATGGTGTTGTCTCTGTCTTGGCGGCGAAGATAATAGTGACTCTGGATTGGGTCTCTCTTCGGGAGAGTTGTAATACCTAGTGGCTGATGTTTTGTTTAGGTTTTGACGGCGGCAGTAGCAGCGAAGCTGGTGGTAGTCTATGAAGCACAAATACACTGGTTGAGATGCATATCGCGTATCAGATATGCTGGGGGATATGATACACGCTGGACATGTGCGGATACGTATTCGAGTCAATAGATACAGTCAACAACGAAAGTATACGCGCATATGACATTATATATATGAGTATTCGATTTTTAGGATACGTTTGGGTCTAATTTTGGATTTAAGAGGGAAAATTAAAAATCGACACAAATTTGAAGTCTTAAAGAACACGAAAGGTTGTCTTTAAGTGTTTTAAAACCATGAAAACGTCTCATGAACTTCTTCTTTTTTCGGTATCATATCTTCTTCTTCTTTATAAATAAAGAAGCCTAGTGCCGCCCACTCATCAATTCTTCTTCTTCATCCATACCTTAAATCAAATATCTCATATATTTTTATTTCTTGAATTAATCTGGTGTGGCCGTGGTGGATTGTTCATGAATTTTCTGGTTTTTCTTCTTCATTGTCGGGTATGTTCTCTATTTTGTTTTCTCAAGCTTATCTATTCTGATCTTATCCTTTCGTTTAAAATACTCTCACGGTCTCACTCCAGTAGTAATAATAATATTATAATCAAAAGTAATAATATCATAACCAAATATAATATATATTACATAAGAACTTGCAAAAAACAGAAAGTCAATGAAAGAACTCCCCCACTACACGTGAAGAGTACTTTTGTTTAGAAAAAAAAAAGTTGTGTTTAGGCAATTTAATAATATTATATTCAATATGTTGAAATCTCTTTATGCTCAGGGACATGAGTCATTCGAATAATAATGCAAGTGCTAATGTTAATCCTACAAAGAATACTGAAATCGAGGTAGATGATCATTCTCCATTGTGGAAGTATGTTAAAAAGCTTGAAAAATTAGGAAAATGCGGAGGAAATACTATGTTTAAATGCAATTGTTATCATAATACTTACAAAGGCTTCTACTCTAGAGTCAAGTTTCATTGGTTGAAAATGTCGGGAAATGGGATTGCACCTTGCAAAAAGGTTATTGATGAAGTTTTTGCTGAAATGAAAAAACTTGTGAGAGAATGTGAATACCGGTTGAAAAGTGTAGCTCTAAGACAAGTGTCTTTGCCTAATACTGGTTCTTTACTTTGTTCTTCTATTTCTAATGTTGAGCAAAATAAGAGAAATTGACTGAATGAGCCCCTTGATAGAGCTTTTCAAAAAGAAGTTAGAGAACAATGTGATGTTGAAGTTGCAAGGATGTTTTATACAGGTGGATTGTCCTTCCATCTTGCAAGGAATCCACATTATCGAAACTCATATTTTCGTGCTTTTGCACTTCCAGGATATGTTCCACCAGATTACAATGCATTAAGAACTACTTTTTTGCAACAAGAGAGGAGCCACATTGAGCGGTGTTTACAACCAATCAAGGGTACATGAAGCATTAAAGGTATAAGTGTGTCTAGTGATGGGTGGATAGATTCGCAAAGAAGACCACTTATTAATATAGGGAATTAATTGTGAGGGAGAGTACAAGGATAAACATTGTATTGCCAACTTTCTTATCGACTCCATTAAGGAAATTGGTTATCAAAATGTGGTTCAAGTAATCACTGACAATGCGCCAGTATGTAGAGCTGCTAGATTACTTGTTGAGGTTGGATATCCGAATATCTTTTGGACACCATGTGTGGTTGAAACTCACAATCTTGCTTTGAAGAGCATATGTTCACCAAAATAAAATGATGATTGGTATGATAAATGTAGTTGGGTTTCAGACATTGTTGTAGTTGGATTTGAATCATTCCAGTCTGGTTCAGTGTCGGTTTGTTGACTTTTTATAGTTTTTTCCTTTTTTTCCATACGGCGTGGTTCGGTGTCTTGGTTCTCTGGTCTCGATGCCCACCCCTATTGTGAACCATAAATGAGATTGGCTATGTATAAGGACCACTGCAAATTGAAGATGCTCTCTTTTGCTGAAACAAGGTTTGCCTCTACACTTGTGATGATTAGAAGATTTAAGAAAGTAAAGGAAGGTCTACAACAAATGGTGATTAGTCCAAACTGGTCTTTATATAAAGAGGATGATGTTGGCAAAGCAAGAGCAGTGAAGGAAAATTTATTGGATGAATACTTTTGGGATGAGATTGATTATATACTTTCCTTTACAGCTTCTATATATGAGATGATTAGGATGGCTGACACATATAAACCTTCTCTTCACTTGGTTTATGATGATAGAGAAGGTGAAGGTAGCTATCTACAGGAAAGAGAACAAGCAACTACATGAACAAAACGACTTCTTTGATGTGGTGTATCACATTTTAGTGGAGTGATGGACCAAGAATAGCACACCACTCTATTGTTTGGCACATTCTTTAAATCCTAGGTAAGTATTATGTGCTTCTTTCTTTTCAAAGTATTTAAAATTTACTTTTTATATTGTGATAGTTTTATAAAATGATATCATCCTTTACTTTTAAGTTTTATAGTCCAGAATGGCTGCAAGAGGATCCTAGCCATGTTGCTCCACACTAAGATGCCGAGATTACAATGGAAAGAAAAAAGTGTCTTGAGAAATACTTTTCAGATGACTGGGCTAGAAGAGATATCAATGTGGAGTATGCCTCTTTTTCAATGTGCTTAGATGACTTTTGAGCTATTGATGCTATAAATGACAGGTTTCACATGGAACCAATGGTGTGGATTGTTCATGGAGCTTTAACACCTACTGTCACCACTCGATTCGTGAATAAAGAATATTCCCGAATCATGGTGTGAGTCATACCATAGTTATACCATGCCATATTCTTTATTCTTGAATTGGGGCGTGACACAAACTCTCCAATCCATAGCTTTGAAGCTATTTGGACAACCTTGTTCCTCCTCGTGTTGTGAAAGAAATTGGAGTACATATAGTTTCATTCACTCTTTAAGAAGAAACAAGTTAACACCCCAAATAGCTAAATACTTGGTATTTGTGCATAATAATCTTCGTCTTTTATCAAGGAAAAGCCCAAGTTACAAAGAAGTTGCTACTCAAATGTGGGATGTTGGAGGAGATGGATTTGATAGCTTTGGTGAAGAAGGTGTTGGGATGCTTGAAATTGCTAACCTTTCTTTTGA